TAAAAGGGTAATATGCAAACTGACCCTAACAGCAGAACGACTGGGAATGACTGGTCACTATGACACACACTGACCACCAGGGGGCAGATGCTCAATGCAGGAGCTGTCCCCTGGTAGTCAGTGCACTCCCACAGGGGGAACTCTGCTCAGCCACAAGCCAGGCTGATGGCTGCCAGTACAGCGGTGGTGGTGGTGGGAGCCTCTCCTGCCTCCTCAGCAGTGCTAAGGATGTCTGACTGCAGCTTAGGCCTGCTCCCTGCTGGCAAGTGGACATCCCCTGAGGGCTGCCAGGCTGCCAGAGGGATGTCTGACTGCCAGCTTGGGCCCGATCCCCCAGGGAGCGGGCCTAAGCCAGCAGGTGGACATCCACTGATGGGTCCCAGACTGCAGGAGGGCATAGGCCAGGCTGAGGGACCCCCCTGAGTGCACAAATTTTTGTGCACCGGGCCTCTAGTTGTAAATAAACAGAAAAGGAGAGAAAATCTATTCTAGAAGAATGAGAGTAAAGAAATAAAAGTAGTGAGGAGTGGGGAGACGTTTTTAAATTGAGCACATGCTAGAAAGAACCATATCACATTGTGAAGGCTGACCCAATTGGGAGTGACTTCTCCCACTCAAATAAAATTTAAAACCCGGTCACACTGCAGATAAACGAACCCAAGATGGCTGTCCCAGCATCGAGGGTAACGAGATGGCCAGGGCATTAAGGATTATGTCAAAGGAAGAAATCCCTTAGAAACCAACTATTTAAGAGTTAGGACTAGGCAATGGAAAAAAAAAAAAAAAAAAAAAGAAAGAAAAAAAGAAAGAAAGAAAAGAAAAAGGTTGTGTAAAGATCAAACAGCCGAGCTCTAAGGATGATGCCTCACATTCCCGCCCAGAAGGATGTGGAAGAGAACGGATCAGAATAAAACCTGGGCGCATTGTCAGGCCTGGGAGGAGGGAGATGTGGGAACGACAGCAGAGGCTCCCCCAGGGCCCCCGTGAGGGGTGACTGGAAGCGAGACATGTGTCATTGTGCCAACAAGAGTGTTGGGCTGGTCACTGTCTCTCTACCCTTCCAGGTCTAGTCCCTCCCCTACCCAGCGCGGCCTCGTGGCCAAGTTCCCATCACACTGGCTCCTGGCTGGGTCTGGCCAACAGGAACCCCAGTAAGAGATCAAAGAAGGAGAGGAAGGGGGGCAGGCAGGTGTGATCCCCACTGGCCTGCTGGGCCACAGCTTTCTGACAGTCCAGCTCCTGTGTGTCTGTCCCCCCAGGTCTGAGCTCTTGTCCTGGGCCCCCCACACCATCTCCCATGTGCAAAGGAAACAGGAGCTTCTGCTCTTTTTTATTTTAAATACTAGAGGCCCGATGCACGAAGATTCGTGCAAGAGTGGGCCTTCCTTCCCCTGGCTGCCCGTCTTTGCTCCTGCCCGGAGCCGCCTTTCCGCCTTCCCACACTGCCCAGAGGCCCGGAGCGGCTGGGGCGGTGCAGAACACCTGAGTCCTGCCCCACCCACCAGCTGCTTGGCACCTGTGTATGCAAATCAACCCGCCATCTTTGTTGGGTTAATTTGCATATTTACTCCTGATTGGCTGGTGGGTGTCATGAAGGTATGGTCAATTTGCATCTTTCTCTTTTATTAGTGTAGATAATTTTATTGATTTCATGGAGGAAGGGAGAAGGACAGAAAGATAGAAACATCAATGATGAGAGAGAATCATGGATCAGGTGCAACCCGGGCATGTGCCCTGACCGGGAATTGAACCTCCTGGTTCACAGGTTGATGCTCACCCACTGAGCCACACAAGCCAGGCTCTAAGTCTTTTTCTTTGGAGCATCCCTGAGACCTCACTGCCCACCTCCTGTGTCCCCAGCTGCTCCTCCCCGTACAGCGTGCTCCTCCCTCTCAACGCCTCACTATGTGCTCAGACCATGTGACTCAGAGGTCATGGAAATGGAAATTTACCAAACGCTACATCCTCCTGCTCACGGCCTCTGGGCCTGGTCAGGAAGGACTCCTTCACTGCAGCCAGTGAAAACGGAAAGCTAAGGCTCCCGGGAAATATAACGTTACTTCCATGTCATAGCCTGAATCCGAGACGCACGTCAGTCACACTACTTTATTTCATGAATAAATAATTCCCTGGCGAAATGAGAAAGTTCCTTTTGCTTTTACTAGGGCTTTGTGTCCAGGCCTGGCGGATGGAGTAGGAAGCACGCTGGCTTGGGGTGTGACTGCCACACCCACAGTGCCAACATCCACGCCCACAGTGCCAGCGTCCACGCCCACAGTTCCAGCATCCACGCCCACAGTGCCAGCGTCCACGCCTACAGTGCTAGCATCCACGCCCACAGTGCCAGCGTCCACACCCACAGTTCCAGCATCCACACCCACAGTGCCAACATCCACGCCCACAGTGCCAGCGTCCACGCCTACAGTGCCAGCGTCCACGCCCACAGTGCCAACATCCACGCCCACAGTGCCAGCATCCCCGCCCACAGTGCCAGCATCCCCGCCCACAGTGCCAGAGTCCCGTCAGCAACGTGGGCCTCCTCTCCTGACTGCGTGTCCGTGTGTGTCGTGGACAACTCCTCGGGGAGGTCCCCGAGCAAGTGGCGGAACCAGGACAACCTCCTCCTTAAGCCACACTTGCCACCATTACACGGATGACGAAGGAGAGAGCGGGCGGGCGTCCAGCCCCGTGCCCGCAGGAGGCTCCTCGGACCCCACGCGCGCGCGGCTTGGACCTGAGACTGGAAGGGTGAGCGAGGGGATCGCGGCCAGAGGCAGCTTCTGCGATGGAGATGAGTCCATGGGGTAGTGAGCAGACCAGGACTGAGCGCTCTTTTGGAACCCCAGCCCTCCCCAGGGGCGCGGCGGGCCTCGGCACAGCTCTCCTCCCCGAGACAAGGCTTCAGGGACGCCCAGAGGCTCCTCCACGGAGTCCGGGCAGGTCACTTTCCCCGCTGCCCTGAGAGCCGGTCACCAGGCCCCTGGGAGGCGATGATGGCAGCAGCTCAAGTTGTAGCAACCAGCAGCTAACCCCCTCTGCACGGCCTGCTCCCCAACTCTGACGCCCAAGCTCCCGTCCTGGCAGGGAGGCGGTGGGGGGTGGGGTCCTAGCCCAAAGCAAAGAGAATGTGACACTTTTAGGATGACAAGGACCAGAACGAGAGGGAATAGAAGCAGAAACGACCCGGCCCGGGAAACATGGCTCGTGGTTGAGCATCGACCTACGAACCAGGAGGTCAGAGTTCGATTCCCCGTCAGGGCACATGCCCGGGTAGTGGGCTCCATCCCCAGTGTGATTCTCTCTCATCATTGATGCTCCATCTCTTGCTCCCTCTCCCTTCCCCTCTGACATCAATAAAACTGTATTAGAAAGGAAACCAGCAGTGACGACCCAAGAAGCCTAAGCGTCCCGGGCCTGGGCGCAGCCACACAGCAGTGAGCAGGAAGAAGGCCTGCGAGGAGGAGGAAGGGGGTCAGTGGCCCTGACCAGTTTGGCTCAGTGGATAGAGAGCTGGCCTGCGCACTAAGGGGTCCCTGGTTCGATTCTGGTCAAGGGCATGTACCTTGGTTGTGGGCTCATCCCCAATGGGAGGTGTGCAGGAGGCAGCTGATCGATGTTTCTAACTCTCGATCCCTCTCCCTTCCTCTCTGTAAAAAATCAATAAAGTATATTTTTTTAAAAGAAGCAGAGGGATCAG